TAGTTGCGTTCCTTGACAGGACATAGCAGAACCAACCCCAGCATTTTTTTGGTTGTTGTGGTTTTTTTCTAGGCAGCTTGCCATTGCTTTCTACCGGTCAGCTCTCGGTACCACTTTCGAAACAACGCAAGACAAACCGTCCGCAGCAAGGATCGAACCCGGCACCCCGGCATTATGAAGCACGTTCGCAACGCCTAAAGCACAGACGCCAACACTAAATGGTTAAGTTTTTGTAAATAGTGTTCTACAGAAGGCTGCAGCCAATCTCCACCATTCCTCTGTTGTCCCGTACCTTAGGCCGTCCCCATGTGGAATGCACATTTTTGTTATTTGAAGCCCCACCTTGGTTTCTTCTGAGGCCCTGAATATAGCCAGGCCATAAATATTGCCTAACGGCTAAAAGGGGTTTTTGGGACCTCTCCACGGGTGATCCTCATTCGCATGGTTGCACTTTGTGTAACTGGGTGTTAAGAGTTATGGGTTAGATTATCTTCACAGCACTCCGGACACATCCATAGGCGCTCGGATGCCCCTCTCAACATATTCATGAGCTTCGTGCGATTAACAGTACCAGTCCTATGTTGGTTAACAAGACTTCGTGTGCGTCTAGTGTGCTTCTCATGCTTGGCTGTGCCTATCTTTACTTCCAATTCGCGTATTCTTAGAAGTGATGTGGACACGTTGCTTCCAAAATCCTCAGAAAGTCCTATTTCTCTAAGGGCAATGAAAATGTCTGCGTGATGCATGGGCCGGCCATCTTCAATTAATGAAGTACCTGCCAGTCTATCAGCTCTCTCATTACCAACAACACCTGCATGCCCTGGGACGAATATGAAAGTAACTGCATACACAGGTGAGTTTTGCAATGACTCAAGCCACTGTCTGCGTAACCAGCCTTCCTCGCCCCGCCGGATCATGCTCAAAGAATCACTCACCACATACGCGGGAACATTCCTGTGATCCCAGCCACATGAAAGCTTGTGTCAACGCCATCACCTCCATCGTCATGCTGCTGGTGGTCATGGAGAAGACACCGCTGGTCTCCTTAACTGTTCTGCCTGAAGAGCGAGCTGTAAATGCCCATGCACTCTTATGTCCTCGTATAACGGACCCGTCTGTGAAGATCACCACAACTGTCTCTTCTGACTTGTCACTGATAAGTCCGCATACATTGGCATTGACAGCAGCTGGATTCTGGTCCCGACAACTCCTATCGAGCGTCACGACAAAGGAGAATGTGAGATTGGGTGCTTTAGACTCTGGTATCCACTCCTCACCAGGCTGCAAACCTGCATGATATCATCCTCTGCCCTACCCAGCCATGATTTGCCCCCTTTAAGCATATTGTCCTTTTTCCTGAAGAGCATGTGGTGCAAAGGGTGCTTCAGATCTGAGCTTATTCTGAGAGCCCTCCAGATCTTGATCCTGTAGTTTATGGTAGGGAACTCAAGAAGATACCTCATTGCCACACAAGAGGTGTCTCCAGTGCATCCCAGAATAATGCGCATTGATTGTAACCGGGTATTTATCGCTTGTGTGATGTCCTGGTGGGGTACAATTACACATACATACCTAGGAGATGTATGGCTGGCTGCCGTGATACCATTCCTTACCTTACCTTTATCTTAGTTATGAAAGTTATTTTGCGCCGACGGGAAGTAAAGGCAACCGGTGTGATGTTTTGATGACATAACCCATCATGGAATTATTGCTCTACAAAACAATTTTTAAAAAGATGGCTGTTGCAGCGTAGGCTAGATTCGCCATTAGTGCGAGAACTGTCTCGTTACCTGTATACTCTAGTAGAGGCACACACCATTATGTCGGAGCACTAGCACACTGGGCGTAGCGACTAGACGCTCGCCTGCCGGTCTGAAGATCTTAGGTTCGCATCCTTACAGTCATTTTTCTGTCCTAAAAATGGCCTTGGCTTCCATGCTGATGCTCACCCAGCCTACAGTGGATAGAGCTAAATTCCATGGAAGTAAAGGCGGTCGGCGTAATGTTGACCACAAAACTCATCAAGAATCGTCGTCTTCTTCTTCTTCTTCTTCTTCTTCTTCTTCTTCTTCTTCTTCTTCTTCTTCTTCTTCTTCTTCTTCTTCTTCTTCTTCTTTTTCTTCTTCTTCTTCTTCTTCTTCTTCTTCTTCTTCTTCTTCTTCTTCTTCTTCTTCTTCTTATCTTCCACTTTCTACCTCCTCGAAGTGTCGGGGGAGATTTAACTTCCGTTTATGAGCTCTGTCAAGAGCACTATTAAGATTGATGTTCATTTCTATAAGGCTGTTCTTAACTCCATCGATCCATGTTTTCCAAGGTCTTCCGCTCGCTTCATACCTGTTGTAACGTTTCAGTGTGGCTCGCTGTGGTAAATAGTACCAGGACATTCTTGTTAGGTGTCCAGACCACTTTATTTGTTGTTCTTTGATTACTTGTAAGACTGGCTTTATTTCTAGCATTCGTCTGATTACGTAATCAAGAGTCGACTGATTTATTAAAACATGTTTAGCATGGTGTGCCTGATTCGCCACTGGCCTAAAAAAAAGTCCTTTAACTAAGTGAAGCTAAACCCCAATAAGACCGCTGACTAAGCAATTGACACCAGGTGACCCAAGCAGTCACTATTCGGATGAGAATAACAACAGATAGCCTTCTAGCACAGGACAATTGACATAAGTTGACTCAGAGGCCAACAGTTTGTACACGGGAATCATGGCGGGTCAGGAGCCTGAGCTCTAGCATAGACAGATCAATAACACAGTACAACTGGCAGTGATCCGCAGGGCCATTTGCCTGGCCTCCGCGGGCCAAATTTGGAACGCAGTACGCCAGTTGAACAGCCCTATCCTAGGTTATACGCGCCACGAAGAATCTGAATGTCGGATAGGGTGGAGAGATTGTCTAGGTCCTTTCATTTTTTAAAACTCAACCTTTCTAAGTGAGTACAGACAAATGGAGAAAAAAAAAATAATAGCAGAAGGCATGGTACCAGGAAGGAAGGGGCAGGAGCTGACCGACACGAAAATGGGCACAGGATATAAGTGACTCATTGAATATGAAAGTACATGAGGTGGGAGAGCTGGCGAGAGACCGAGTTTCTTTTAGGCCGACCATAATAACAGTGACGTTGTGCAAAGAACCTGCTACATGATGATGATGATGATGATAGTGATGATGATGACGATGATGATGACAGACAAACAATAAACGAACCTAACTGTCGAAGCACTAGCGACTGGTCACCTCTAGATGTCTGCGGCGACTGGTGACCTCTAGATGTCTGCGACGTCTGCCAGGTGAGTGCGGCGACTTCAGGTAGTAATAGTTACTGGCCACACGATCCAAGGACTCGGTCAGACAGTGACCACCCAAGCGAAATCTGCAGTCCCGTTTTCTAAGTCAACCAAAAATCGAATGCAAAGTTTTGTCCAGACATCGACAGATACATGAAACAAAAGTGAACTTAATAAAAACGTGTAACAGAGCCGATAAATTCGGATGATTCGATGTTTTAACTAAGGACTTGTCTGATGTACCATGGGGATAATCAGTGGATTAACTAAGGACTTATCTGATGTTCCATGAGGATGATTGGTGGAATAACTAAGGACTTATCTGATGTGCCATGAGGATGATCAGTGGATTAACTAAGGACTTATCTGATGTGCCATGACGATAATCAGTGGATTAACTAAGGACTTATCTGATGGGCCATGAGGATAAACCGTGGATTAACTAAGGACTTGTCTGATGTGCTATGAGGACGATTTGTGGATTACCTGAGGACTTGTCTGATGTGCCATGACGATGATCGGTGGATTAACTAAGGACTTATCTGATGTGCCATGAGGATGATTGGTGGATTAACTAAGGACTTATCTGATGTGCCATGAGGATGATCGGTGGATTAACTAAGGACTTGTCTGATGTGCCATGAGGATGATCAGTGGATTAACTAAGGACTTATATGATGTGCCATGACGATAATCAGTGGATTAACTAAGGACTTATCTGATGTGCCATGAGGATAAACCGTGGATTAACTAAGGACTTGTCTGATGTGCCAGGAGGATGATTGGTGGATTAACTAAGGACTTGTCTGATGTGCCATGAGGATGATTGGTGGATTAACTAAGGACTTGTCTGATGTGCCATGAGGACGATTTTTGGATTAACTAAGGACTTGTCTGATGTGCCATGAGGACGATTTGTGGATTAACTAAGGACTTACCTGATGTGCCATGACGATGATCGGTGGATTAACTAAGGACTTATTTGATGTTCCATGAGGATGATTGGTGGAATAACTAAGGACTTATCTGATGTGCCATGAGGATGATCAGTGGATTAACTAAGGACTTATCTGATGTGCCATGACGATAATCAGTGGATTAACTAAGGACTTATCTGATGGGCCATGAGGATAAACCGTGGATTAACTAAGGACTTGTCTGATGTGCTATGAGGACGATTTGTGGATTACCTGAGGACTTGTCTGATGTGCCATGACGATGATCGGTGGATTAACTAAGGACTTATCTGATGTGCCATGAGGATGATTGGTGGATTAACTAAGGACTTATCTGATGTGCCATGAGGATGATTGGTGGATTAACTAAGGACTTATCTGATGTGCCATGAGGATAATCCGTGGATTACATAAGGACTTGTCTGATGTGCCATGAGGATGATTGGTGGATTAACTAAGGACTTGTCTGATGTGCCATGAGGATGATTGGTGGATTAACTAAGGACTTGTCTGATGTGCCATGAGGACGATTTGTGGATTAACTAAGGACTTACCTGATGTGCCATGAGGATGATCGGTGGATTAACTAAGGACTTATCTGATGTGCCATGACTATGATCGGTGGATTAACTAGGGACATGTCTGATGTGAGGAGAGATAGTGGCTACTGACGTGTTGTGTATATTGTTGGTGTCCGCTCTCATGGCCACCAACAACCTGCTCAGTGTGGCGATGGCCCGTCTTTGCTCCACCAGGCCGCCGAGAACACTGCAAGACAGTTACAACAGTTACAATTCAATTACCTGACAGTTACACGACAGTTACAACAGTTACAATTCAATTACGTGACAGTTACACGACAGTTACAACAGTTACAATTCAATTACGTGACAGTTACACGACAGTTACAACAGTTACAATTCAATTACCTGACAGTTACACGACAGTTACAACAGTTACATTTCAATTACATGACAGTTACACGACAGTTACAACAGTTGAAATTCAGTATATGACAGTCATAAGACAGTTACAACAGTTACAATTCAGTTACGTGACAATTACAAGACAGTTACAACAGTTGAGATCAGTATATGACAGTCATAAGACAGTCATAAGACAGTTACAACAGTTACAATTCAGTTACGTTACAGTTACAAGACAGTTACAACAGTTACAATTGGCTTACGTGACAGTTACAATTCGGCTACGTGACAGTTGCAAGACAGTTAGCAAAAAGACAGCTAAAAAAAGTAAGTAAAAAGACAATTACTAGAACAATCTTTTTTTTTTTTTTTTGAATAATATGTCTCTTGAACATAAATGTTATGTTATCACAATCGACGTACATTGGGCATTCCTATGCCTGCCGTATCCTTTGCTGCAGCAGCCACCCCAGGGTACCTCTACTGATTTGAAGTAGATAACAGTATCTCCTGTCTTTACCTCAAAGACGGCATAGTCATGCTTCATCAAGCTTAACCCCTCGGTCTCGCAGTCGTGTTAGCGCCTGCATTATCCCCCCCCCCCCCCCAGTCCTTACTGCGTTGATGATAAATTGAACATAAATAATAAAGTCACCAACCAGATCAGTCATACAGTAGAGTTTGTCTGTAGAGCAAATTTGCGAAACGAGGTTCATGACGTCACCAAAACATGTGCTTCACAGTCACTCGTGAAGCAATATGCAATGAATGACTGTCGTCTGCTGAAGTAGTTATTTGCCTTACAAACAGAATGATATTATCATGGCCTACTCTATATATTAGCAACGAGAAGACAAGTGGGATTTGGGGGGGGGGGGAGTTGGGGGGGGCGGGGCATGGGGTTGAACAAGTGTTTCGGAACAGCGGCCGATAAACATGGTTAGTTGTAGAAAGCATTTGACAATATAAAAAGACGTGTACTGTCATGTTTTAAATCACGTTGTAGACATATACAAAACCTGCAAGAATGAATGTTCAATTGAAACTTTCTAGATTCCCCCAAATATAACTTGAAACCACAGCAATAAATCTTGTGACTAATTGAATGACTTGTAAAACACATTACCATTGACGTCATGCACTTCGTTTTTCAAATCTAGTGACACTTTGGAAACACCCTGTATCATAATATTACAATATATACACATATATGTGTCTGTGTTTTGTGTGTTTGTTTGTATGTGTATGAGGGAATGAGAGAGAGAGAGAGAGAGAGAGAGAGAGAGAGAGAGAGAGAGAGAGAGAGAGGGAGAGAGAGAGAGAGAGAGAAAGAGAGAGAGAAGGGGAGACTGGGGGAGGGAAAGAGGGGGGGGGGAGTTACGCAAGTGGTGTATTCGGCTATCGAGGCTAGACATATTTTCATCAAACAATCGGCACTTAATGCATGAGGTAACCTTGCGTTTGCGCTGCCCACCCCCATTGCTGAGAGTTGATCATATCCCCTGGTCACTGCCTACCATCCAGTGTTGAGAGTTGACCATATCCCCTGGTCACTGCCAGCCCCCCAGTGTTGAGAGCTGACCATATCCCCTGGTCAGTCCCCGCCCCCAGTGTTGACAGTTGACCATATCCCCTGGTCACTCCCCACCTCCTAGCGTTGAGGGTTGACCATATCCGCTGGTCAATGCCCACCCCCCCCCCCACTCAGTGTTGAAAGTTGACTATATCACCTGGTCACTGCCCGCTGCATCATCAGACCACGATGACCTGGTTGAGACTCCACACTATTTACTGGCACCCAAAGTCTCTTGACAACATCTAGCTTGGCAGTCATCAATTGGTGGTGCATAATCAGCCAGTCGGTCTCTCAGTTCGTTCCCCAAAACACATGTATGGCTTGGAACAAATATCCAAACGAAGCTAATTATCAGGGAACTCTGAAGCGATGCTTGCCACTCTGCACGGAATCTGTCTGTCTGTACCTTTCTCATCATGTTTTGTAAGTCTGTTACAATCACGTCATGTCCTTTCTCATCATGTTTTGTAAGTCTGTTACAATCACGACATGTCCTTTCTTATCCTGTTTTGTAAGTCTGTTACAATCACGACATGTCCTTTCTCATCCTGTTTTGTAAGTCTGTAACAATCACGACATGTCCTTTCTCATCCTGTTTTGTAAGTCTGTAACAATCACGACATGTGCTTTCTCATCCTGTTTTGTAAGTCTGTTACAATCACGACATGTCCTTTCTCATCCTGTTTTGTAAGTCTGTTACAATCACGACATGTCCTTTCTCATCCTGTTTTGTAAGTCTGTTACAATCACGACATGTCCTTTCTTATCCTGTTTTGTAAGTCTGTTACAATCACGACATGTCCTTTCTCATCCTGTTTTGTAAGTTTGTTACAATCATGACATGTCCTTTCTCATCCTGTTTTGTAAGTCTGTTACAAACACGACATGTCTATGCAGCTGCCTCTCAGCAAAGCTTTTTCTTGTTCGAGTAACCAAATAGTCAAATACTTACGCGTTAGCAGCAAGGAGTTCATGAGATGTCATTTGATTATCCGGCAGACCAACATCCTCTTCCTGGCTTCTCTTTCCAGGACTTCCGTCCGACCTGAGAAAATTGCCAGGATTCTTTAACCTCTCCATGTCAATCAAGGCGCAGTGGTGATTATGTAAGCCTAGCTGGCATGTTCTTTTTCTGTGTAAGTTAGATATAGGTATGTAGCAAAACACACAGCGGGACACACACAGAAATGCAATAAAAAGATAGAATTGACAAATACACAATAAAGCATTTTAAAAATGCCAGTTTCCACAGTTAATTGCATTTCCTTCTTGCTGACTAGGATTTTTTAAATGCCATTATACATTTAGTAGTTTGCCATTGCTTTCTGGATGTTACAACTATCTTCCCGTTGTCAGAATCAGCGCAATATGGTCTGCTACCAAATCCCATGCATGTATGGAATTGAAATAATAACTAAACTTTTAAATGATATTTATAATAGTGGGTATATTCCAAATGACCTTTTAAAAATCCATATTTGTAGCTCTGCCAACAAACAAATAAAACCAGGCACTTTAAATGTGAAGACCATCACACAACAAGTCTTATGAGTCACATGACTAAGATTTTACTGAGAATAATTATGAGAAGAAAAAGAAACAAAATTAAACCAGAAATCAGCGATGAACAATGTGGATTTGTAGAAGGAAAAGGTACAAACAATGCCATATACATCCTAAGGACATTGTCAGAAAGAGCAATAGAAGTAAAGACTGATTTGTACTTATGCTTCATAGACTATACAAAAGCATTTGACTGTGTAAAGCATGAAGAAGTAATCAAACTGTTTAAAAAAAATGAACATTGATGGAAAAGATCTACGAATAATAAAGAATATGTATTGGCAGCAAACAGCAGCTGTAAGAATTAACAACTGTTTAGGTACATTTCAAAGCATAAAGAGAGGCGTACGACAAGGATGTGTACTGTCACCTGATTTGTTTTCAATATACAGTGAATATATAATGAGATCTCTAATTGATATGCCCGGAATTGTGGTTGGTGGGCACAATATAAACAATTAACGTTATGCTGATGACACAGTCTTGATAGCAACAAGTCAGAAAGAATTACAGGGAATGATAGACACTGTAGTGTTAGAAAGTGGAAGAATGGGCCTCAGTTTGAATAATGGGAAGACAGAAGTAATGGTGGTATCAAAGAAACGAATTATTCCTAAATGCATAATAAAAGTCGATGGTGTTATTTTGGGACAGGTACAGAAATTTAAGTACCTGGGCACATGGATAACATCAGATGGAAGATGCATAACTGAGACAAGAAACAAAATAGGACAATCAAAAACTGCATTTTATAAAATGAAGAACATCTTGTCCAATATATCCTTGTCATTAAGAGTTAGACAAAAAATTCTTGCTTGCTACATACATCCAGTTTTAACATATGGCTGTGAATCCTGGACAATCGGTAGGCAAGCCAAACAATTTCTAAAGGCATCGGAGATGTGGTTTTACAGAAGAATGCTTAGAATACCCTGGACAGGAAAAAAAAAAAAAAAACAGCCAAGAGGTTTTGAAAGAGGCGGGAGCCCGAAGACAACTTATCACAGACATCAAAAGGAGACAGTCATCATTTTTCGGCCATGTTATGAAAAGAGGGAAAATAGAGCATATTGTGACCACTGGAAAGATCTGTGGAAGGAGAGATAGAGGAAGACAACGAGAGAAGATGCTTGACAGTCTTGTTGCATGGCATGGAGGTGTATCGGAAAACGAACTGATACATGCTGCAGGAGATCGCAGATTGGATAGAGGCATGACCGCCCACGCTAGTCGATAAGGCACCTGATGATATATATATATATTCACACATACACACACATGGGAGCCTCCGTGGTGTAGCGGCTAGACGCTCGCCTGTGGATCGGAAGGTTGTGGGTTCGCATCCTGACGGAGCCGGACTTTCTTCAAAAATAAACTTTGCTACCAGGTCGACCCAGCCTTGAATGGTTACTACGGTATAGTCGTGGGAAGTAAAGGCGGCCGGTGGGATGTTGACCACATCACACAACGAGTGCCGATTAGTCTATAAAATATAGGTCTAGCCCTACGTGCCCAACACAGAGAGGGACAAGAAAGTAATAGGGAGGAAGAGAGACAGTGGAAAAGAGAAGAGAGAGACAGAGAAATGGGGAGAGGAGATTGTCTAATGAGAATCAGGGAGAGAGAGAGAGAGGCGGTGGCGGCAAGCGAGTGTAACATCAAAAGGGATGGACAAAGAGAGAAAGGAAAGTAGGAGAACATTGATGAAACAGAGACCATTCACGGACAAAGAGAGAAAGGAAAGCAGGAGAACATTGATGAAACAGAGACCATTCACGGACACAGAGAGAAAGGAAAGCAGGAGAACATTGATCAAACAGAGACCATTCACGGACACAGAAAGAAAGGAAAGCAGGAGAACATTGATAAAACAGAGACCATTCACGGACACAGAGAGAAAGGAAAGCAGGAGAACATTGATCAAACAGAGACCATTCACAGACAAAGAGAGAAAGGAAAGTAGGAGAACATTGATCAAACAGAGACCATTCACGGACAAAGAGAGAAAGGAAAGTAGGAGAACATTGATGAAACAGAGACCATTCACGGACAAAGAGAGAAAGGAAAGTAGGAGAACATTGATCAAACAGAGACCATTCACGGACAAAGAGAGAAAGGAAAGCAGGAGAACATTGATCAAACAGAGACCATTCACGAGCAAAGAGAGAAAGGAAAGTAGGAGAACATTGATGAAACAGAGACCATTCACGGACAAAGAGAGAAAGGAAAGCAGGAGAACATTGATCAAACAGAGACCATTCACGAGCAAAGAGAGAAAGGAAAGTAGGAGAACATTGATGAAACAGAGACCATTCACGGACACAGAGAGAAAGGAAAGCAGGAGAACATTGATCAAACAGAGACCATTCACGAGCAAAGAGAGAAAGGAAAGTAGGAGAACATTGATGAAACAGAGACCATTCACGGACACAGAGAGAAAGGAAAGCAGGAGAACATTGATCAAACAGAGACCATTCACGGACACAGAGAGAAAGGAAAACAGGAGAACATTGATCAAACAGAGACCATTCACGGACACAGAGAGAAAGGAAAGTAGGAGAACATTGATCAAACAGAGACCATTCACGGACACAGAGAGAAAGGAAAGTTGGAGAACATTGATGAAACAGAGACCATTCACGGACACAGAGAGAAAGGAAAGCAGGAGAACATTGATCAAACAGAGACCATTCACGGACACACAAGTGGAGACAAGAAGTGTCTCCATTGCAATCTTACTGGAAATCCTCCAAATGATAATCCAAACCTTCCAGTAAGTTCCTTAGACGGTCAAAGTCCAACAGCTTCTGACCACTGGCCGGCACCAGCTGACCCCTAGGGACAGAACATAAGAGACAGGATTGTGTCCAGAGTTTTCCAGTCAAATATACGCTTTAATTCCATAACAGTATTTTCTAGTTTTCCTGACAAGGATTAGGGATTTGATTTGACAGCAATACTGGGGAAATAATCATGGAAATTAAGTGGAAATCCCAACATCACGTAAACAACTGACATTACTGGCTTGCTTTGCGGGGAGGAAAGGGTGGGGGTGGGGTGGGGGAATCGTCACGTGTAACCAGCATCCCCACAGGCGGAGCTTTTAATTGGGTGGGTTTACTGTCCCCTATACCTGTATGGGTTTACTGTCCCCTATACCTGTCTGGGTTTACTGTCCCCTATACCTGTCTGGGTTTACTGTCCCCTATACCTGGCTGGGTTTACTGTCCCCTATACCTGGCTGGGTTTACTGTCCCCTATACCTGTCTGGGTTTACTGTCCCCTATACCTGGCTGGGTTTACTGTCCCCTATACCTGGCTGGGTTTACTGTCCCCTATACCTGTCTGGGTTTACTGTCCCCTATACCTGGCTGGGTTTACTGTCCCCTATACCTGTCTGGGTTTAATATCCCCTATACCTGGCTGGGTTTACTGTCCCCTATACCTGGCTGGGTTTACTGTCCCCTATACCTGTCTGGGTTTACTGTCCCCTATACCTGGCTGGGTTTACTGTCCCCTATACCTGTCTGGGTTTACTGTCCCCTATACCTGGCTGGGTTCACTGTCACCTATATCTGGCTGGGTTTACTGTCCCCTATACCTGGCTGGGTTTACTGTCACCTATACCTGGCTAGGTTTACTGTTCTCTATACCTGGTCGGGTTTACTATCCTCGATACCTGGCTGGGTTCAATATCCCCTATACCTGGCTGGGTTTAATATGCCCTATACCTGGCTGGGTTTAATATCCCCTATACCTGGCTGGGTTAACTGTCCCCTATACCTGGCTGGGTTTAATATCCCCTATACCTGGCTGGGTTAACTGTCCCCTATACCTGGCTGGGTTTACTATCCCCTATACCTGGCTGGGTTTAATATCCCCTATACCTGGCTGTGTTTAATATCCCCTATACCTGGCTGGGTTTAATATCCCCTATACCTGGCTGGGTTTACTATCCCCTATACCTGGCTGGGTTTAATATCCCCTATACCTGGCTGGGTTTAATATCCCCTATACCTGGCTGGGTTTACTATCCCCTATACCTGGCTGGGTTTAATATCCCCTATACCTGGCTGGGTTTAATATCCCCTATACCTGGCTGTGTTTAATATCCCCTATACCTGGCTGGGTTTAATATCCCCTATACCTGGCTGGGTTAACTGTCCCCTATACCTGGCTGGGTTTACTATCCCCTATACCTGGCTGGGTTCAATATCCCCTATACCTGGCTGGGTTTAATATCCCCTATACCTGGCTGGGTTTACTATCCCCTATACCTGGCTGGGTTTAATATCCCCTATACCTGTCTGGGTTTAATATCCCCTATACCTGGCTGGGTTTACTGTCCCCTATACCTGGCTGGGTTTACTGTCCCCTATACCTGGCTGGGTTTAATGTCCCCTATACCTGGCTGGGTTTAATATCCCTTATACCTGGCTGGATTTACTGTCCCCTATACCTGGCTGGGTTTACTATCCCCTATACCTGGCTGGGTTTACTATCCTCTATACCTGGCTGGGTTTAATGTCCCCTATACCTGGCTGGGTTTAATGTCCCCTATACCTGGCTGGGTTTAATATCCCCTATACCTGGCTGGGTTTACTATCCCTTATACCTGGCTGGGTTTAATATCCCCTATACCTGGCTGGGTTTACTATCCCATACACCTGGCTGGATTTACTGTCCCCTATACCTGGCTGGGTTTACTATCCTCTATACCTGGCTGGATTTACTGTCCCCTATACCTGGCTGGGTTTAATATCCCCTATACCTGGCTGGGTTTACTGTCCCCTATACCTGACTGGGTTTAATATCCCCCATACCTGGCTGGGTTTACTATCACCCATACCTGGCTGGGTATACTGTCACCCATACCTGGCTGGGTTTACTGTCACCCATGCTTGGCTGGGTTTACTGTCACCCATACCTGGCTGGGTTTACTGTCACCCATACCTGGCTGGGTTTACTGTCACCCATACCTGGCTGGGTTTACTGTCACCTCATACCTGGCTGGGTTTACTGTCACCCATACCTGGTTGGCGGCGTCCGTGGCTAAGGCGTTGCGAGTCCGACTCGTAAGCCAGCATACCGCGATCGAAACCCACTGCAGGCTGCGTGGATTTTTGTCGTGGTATGGGACGTCGCAGGTCGACCCAGCCTAAAATGGGTACCAGGATGGGCTGTCCTGGCAAAGTAAAGACAGCCGTCGTAATGCTGACCACATTACCCACAGAGTGCTGATGGTCTGTAAAAATATGGGACGCTCTTCCCATATGACCTGATGCTCCGAAAGGCGTGAAAAGGGATCTTTCCTTTTTTTTCAATACCTGGTTGGGTTTACTGTCAGCTCACACCTGGCTGGGTTTACTATCCCCTACACCTGTTTGGGTTTACTGTCACCCATTCCTGGTTGGGTTTACTGTCACCCATGCCTGGCTGTGTTTACTGTCACACATACCTGGCTGGGTTTACTATCCCCCATACCTGGCTTGGTTTACTGTCACCCATACCTGGCTGGGTTTACTGTCACCTCATACCTGACCGGGTTTACTGTCCACTATACCTGGCTGGGTTTACTGTCCACTATACCTGGTTGGGTTTACTGTCACCTATACATGGCTAGGTTTACTGTCCCCCATACCTAGCTAGGTTTACTGTTCCCCCATACCTGGATGGGTTTACTGTCCCCCATACCTGGTTGGGTTTACTGTCACCCATACCTGGTTGGGTTTACTGTCACCCATACCCGATTGGGTTTACCGTCACACACACCTAGTTGGGTTTACTGTCACCCATACCTGGTTGGGTTTACTGCCACCTATACCTAGTTGGGTTTACTGTCACCCATACCTGGCTGGGTTTACTGTCATCCATACCTGGCTGGGTTTACTGTCACCCATACATGGCTGGGTTTACTGTCACTCTTACATGGCTGGGTTTACTGTCCCCCATACATAGCTGGGTTTGTGTCACCCGTGTCTGGCTGGGTTTACTGTCACCTATACATGGCTAGGTTTACTGTCCCCCATACCTAGCTGGGTTTACTGTCCCCCATACCTGGCTGGGTTTACTGTCCCCCCATACCTGGCTGGGTTTACTGTCCATCATTCCTGGCTGGGTTTACTGTTCCACATACCTGGCTAGGTTTACTGTCCCCCATACCTGGCTGGGTTTACTGTTCCCCATACCTGGCTAGGTTTACTGTCACCCATACCTGGCTAGGTTTACTGTCCCCCATACCTGGCTAGGTTTACTGTTCCCCATACCTGGCTAGGTTTACTGTCCCCCATACCTGGCTGGGTTTACTGTCCCCCATACCTGGCTGGGTTTACTGTCACCTATACCTGGCTTGGTTTACTGTCACCCCTACCTGCTGGGTTTACTGCCCCTCATACCTGACTGGGTTTAATGTCCCCTATACCTGGCTGGGTTTACTATCCCCCATACCTGGCTGGGTTTACTGTACACTATACCTGGTTGGGTTTACTGTCCCCCATACCTGGCTGGGTTTACTGTCCCCTATACCTGGCTGGGTTTACTGTCCCCGTGCCTGGCTGGGTTTACTGTTCCCTATACCTGGCTGGGTTTACTGTTCCCTATACCTGGCTGGGTTTATTGTTCCCTATACCTGGCTGGCTTTACTATCCCCTATACCTGGCTGGGTTTACTGTCCCCCGTGCCTGGCTGGGTTTACTGTCCCCCGTGCCTGGCTGGGTTTACTATCCCCTATGCCTGGCTGGGTTTACTATCTGGCTGGGTTTACTGTTCCCTATACCTGAGGAATTGTATTAAAGGTTGGCCACAACATGAGGAATTGTATTAAAGGTTGGCCACAACATGAGGAATTGTATTAAAGGGTGGCCACAACACGAGGATCTGTATTAAAGGGTGGCCACAACATGAGGAACTGTATTAAAGGGTCGCCACAACATCAGGAACTGTATTAAAGGGTGGCCACAACATCAGGAACTGTATTAAAGGTTGGCCACAACGTGAGGAACTGTATTAAAGGTTGTCCACAACATGAGGAACTGTATTGAAGGGTGGCCACAACATCAGGAACTGTATTAAAGGGTGGCCACAACATTAGGAACTGTATTAAAGGTTGGCCACAACGTGAGGGACTGTATTAAAGGTTGGCCACAACATGAGGAATTGTATTAAAGGGTGGCCACAACATCAGGAACTGTATTAAAGGGTCGCCACAACATCAGGAACTGTATTAAAGGGTCGCCACAACCCGAGGAACTGTATTAAAGGGTGGCTACAACATCAGGAACTGTATTAAAGGGTCGCCACAACCCGAGGAACTGTATTAAAAGGTGGCCACAACATGAGAAACTATTAAAGGGTCGCCACAACATCAGGAACTG